ATCTGTCTTACTGCTCATAGAGAGAGACAGGTCAGAGAGAGAGAGAGAGAGAGAGAGAGAGAGAGAGAGAGAGAGAGAGAGAGAGAGAGAAAGGTCAGCGGTCACCAGGTCTAGCATCCTTAACGACTTAAAGGATGGTAACAAGTTCTTTTACCAGTAAATATGTCCCAGCAACGATAGTGTGAAGGAGGCGGAGTCTCCAAATTCTGTGATGATGTCATCTTGACTCTTCTGTTTGTTCAGCACGCCACCAATCAAAACCTGCTCACCTTCAGCGAGCCTGACAGACAGACAGACAGACAGGTAGAGAGACAGGCCACCCTCACAATAACCTATTGAATATATATAGATATATGTGTCTGACTTTTTATCTTAGCAAGTTCTTAGCACAGATAAAGTCATTATAGTAGGTGATTTCAACATTCATGTAAATGTTGCTAATGACTGCAATAAATTCACTGATAGACTCAATGGTTTTATTCAACATGTGACATGTCACTGTGTCATGTCACATGTCACAGTTTTCAGACATGACCTCTCGAGGAACGCTTGAGAATTGGGTCCAGACTTTCTCCACAGTTTGTCTTTCACACATGAAGCGGTAGGAGATTCTCTGCTCAGACTCATTCACAACACCAACAAATCCTCCGCAGAGGCAGGAAGTAACAAATTAATTTTGCTGCAGAGATCAAGTTTTTGTTTACACACACAAACTCTCTTACCATCTTCATCTGTCTTCTATGTGTGTGGCTCCATTTTTTCATCCTGATATATGAATCTAATTTTTTTTATTTTTGCAACTGTCACGTGTTAGAAACGTCATCAACCCCCCACTCCCACGGAGTGAATCCTGGATTACACATCGACTCTACAGACTTATCAGGGTGTCAGACAGAGATAGTCCAAAGAAAATCTGAAGACTTTCTCTCTGCAGAGGATCTCCAGAGTTCAGTACATGCCTGAAAGCAGCTTGTGTGTCTGTGTCACTGTGTGTGTTCTTACTTGCTCAGTTCCACGCAGCATTTTGCCAACAGGAATCGAACCTGCGGCGTGGAGCAGCTGTGTGCCTTCAGCAACCGGTACGCCTTGTACGGTTTCCCCGAGCGGTAATAACATGTTGCCAACAGGTAGAGGGCCTCCTCTGACCTCACTGGCAGACAGACAGGTGGAGAGACACAGGTCAACAGGTAGACAGACAAACAGAAAGGTAGACAGACAGACAGACAGACAGGTGTTACCTTCAGCGTAGAGTCTCTCCGCAAGGAAAACAGCATCCAGGTAAGCGTAGTGGTTCAAAGCCTGCCACACAGCAGCCTGAACAGAGACACATTAACCACCATTAACTAGTCTTGACTTGGGATGTCAGGAGAACAAATATTTGTGTATCAAGTCAATGTCAAAATTCTAAAAACATCATGTGCTCTTGTTTTTGCAGTATTGAAGGTAACTTGAAGCTAACTGTTCACATACAGCTGGTCAGTGATCAGCCTGGTTACTCTGCACTGACTACATTTCTGTTTAGATAATCTGGTGAATGACGTCATTGAATCGCACTGTTTACTTCAATGTGTTGACGCTATTTCTAGTCATGACGTCACAACCATGGCAGTGACGAAAACAAACCATTAGACCGAGTCTGGTTAACTCCGGTTAACGTGGCAGCCAATCAGCTGATGGCGAATGATCACGTTAACCGGCAGCTGGCAGACGTTCGCTATCGTTAGCATCAATAAGCTAACTAGCTGTTGGTTCACTTTAACCTGTCTGTGGCGACTGGAACTTTAAAATAAATAAACTCAACAACCTGTTTGTGTTCACTAGTGAACTCAACAACCTGTTTGTGTTCACTAGTGACCTCCACAGCCGCTCAGCTGAGCCTCACACACAGTTAGCCGGTTAACACAACTCCACTGTTAGCATTTTAGCTTTAGCAATGTTACTGATACAAGACTCCATTAGAAATGTATCGGTTTCGTTATCTACATTTTATCAGCGAAACAATCACAGTTGTCATCAGACCAATAAACAATCGATACCGTCTCATAATCAACTCGGAAAACACGAAGTCGTTTCGCTGCTTCGTAAACTTTAGTAACTATTAGCGCTAATAACGCGTGTTGACCTGCGCCAGCACAATAACAGCAGCATGTGAACTTAGTGTTGAATTTTCTTATTATTTAAAGGTGATTTAGTGATTTGATCGCAGCCGAAGTGATGAGCGGCACCGAGCAGCTCAACCTGGACCCAAAGAACCGTCCTGCCCTCTTCCATTTCAAAGCGACACTTTAGTGAACCTCACTTTGACTGTTTTTTAGAAGGAGTCTGGTGCGACCGGTGTGAGCGGTAATCATACTGACATTAGCTAACGAACTAGCTTCGTGTTGAGGTGTGACGGACCAGCCCTCGGTGTTTTTACACCGATCACACGCTCGCTGTCCCCGGCACCGACCTCAGGCCTGCGGCGGGGGAAGCTCTCACACCGCGGACTGGAGCCGCCGCTGAGGCCAGGACGGAGAGGAGCAATCCTCGGCTCTGGGCTGATGACAACGGGCTGAAGCTGTAGTTTTACCTGGACCGGTTCCTGCAGCACCGTCATTCCGCCGGGAGACTCCGTCTGTCGCGTCCTGTCGTCGGTTCTTTTCTTCTCCTTCTTCACGGTGTCTGCAGGACGAGCTGCAGCCGAACATTTGAACACACCGACCGTTAGCGGCCGAACTAAGCCGAACAATGCCGAAGATGGTTGAAGGCCGGGACGGAAACACGACCATTAACGAAAAGAGCCGAAGAGGCTGCGCCCCCTGGTGGCCTGTCTCGTGTTAAAGAGTAAATAATACAATGACAAAGACTTTATTTATAGATAATAAT